CACTTTTTTTGTTAAGAGATTTTGGGTAATTCATATTATTTGATATTTTTAATGTCATGTCAAAAAGGCAAGCTACATATTGAAGGAATAACCCAAATGCATGAGCAGAAGAGTTCAGAGACTTTAGAATCTATGAGATTCTTTCGGAGGCTTGTGGTGGACTGTACCAATATCTTGCTATGGCCACACCAGTCTGTAAAAATAATGGGCATAGCTACCGTGACATCACCTATTGGTTTGTGGACTCCCATCTTGAAGCCTTGAGTTTGGCATTTCGGCAATCGCCATCTTGGTTTTTTGGAGTCAGAAGTGACCTTATGCTGCATTCAAATGGGCTTGTATTTATTGTGTTCAAGAATCAATATGAACGCCCCCTTCTTATGGTATCCACAACCTCATTAGTGAACTCTGAGATCTCAGAAAATTTCTACTTCTTTGTGCACTCAACAAGGAGTGGATCTGACTGAGAGCTGAGGATACTATTGGTAGAGAGCCTGTCACTCAAAGAGGCTTGCCCTTTATTATGTATAACTTTAAGCCTTGGTAAAATGTAAACCAGCAAGTAATATAAAAATTCATCCCCCGTACAGTTGTCACGAAGGGGAAAATTACCTATAGGAGACCAAAACTGCTTACTCCTGCTGTCAGGTTGGGCATTTAACATGGGAGTTTATGGGGAGTGACCGGCTTCGGGAGCCACCCTCAAGTGGCCATGGCCGTTTTTGCATTTTTCAGCGCTGGAGGTTGCCACTTTGTCCACACATACACAGGATTTTTTTTAGACATATTTTATTCCTATGGCCTTTCAAACTGCGTTTTAGGTCACTGAGAACGGACCTTTTATAAAACGCCTTCTAGGGTGAAGATTTTCAGAAACTACGTATTTATTTTTGACATGTAGACGGTGCAAACTGAGTTTCTCTTCTTTGTTAGAGATTTTCTTTAAACAAAGCTTGTGTGGAAGAGATTTTTTTTGAGATAGAAGGAGCAAAAAGGCCCATTTTCAGAACTTCTGATATGTGTGGACAAATGTTGTTTTTATTTTTCATTTGGCACCCATCTGTGAGTCTTTACGGGAACAAATAGACATTTGATTAAAGGACAATGACCTCTGACCTTATTTTGGATTTTATCTTATCCGATTTTGTAGTTTCACAGCAAACAAACATGAATGTATTTTGACAGAAAACAGTACACGCACACATGGTCATGCCTTAATACTGAGACCCACTCCTGCTTTCTCTCCAGGTTTAAAAATCCTACCTTTCATTAAAGGATCACAGTGTTCAACCTGGATTCCCTCGGTCAGTGCACATGATGTAAAGCGCAGATTTTCTTAATAATTTGTGTGCTCAGTGGAGGCTTAAAGGGGATTTGAGGTGACCCCGATGAAACAGACTTTAATAGGTCTGGTATGAGTGTACATTACATTACATTCGAAACTGGCCGATCCGTGATCAACTGTAATTACGTGCTGATTATATAACACATCTGTCGTCAAGAAGTTGTTTCTGGGGCTCGGTACAACTCCGAGTGGACAAACAAAAACTTCCCGCATGACATCAAGATTTCCATCCATTCTTACGCACATGCAAACATGCTCACAAAGAAAAAAGAATAACGCACACACAGAAACCCGAGCCACTTGGCCTTGCCATCCTTCCCTCTGCCTTTCTCCAGAGATGAAGAATTAGTTTAAAGACTCTCTGATCTATAAGCAGGTTGGTACTGTACTGAAGGCAGGATGTTAAACCCCCACCACAACGTGCTTCTTGTGTGTGCGTGCATCTAAAATCGAAACCATAAGTGTGTATGAGTGCATGCTTCTCTGCAGCTGTGCAAGGTGGGGATCTTGTGCGTGACCCGAGCGTGTTGCAGCCGTCGCAGTGCCGCCCCCCCATTTTTATTTTGCAGGAAGCAATGCGTCGGAGCGTATGTTCCCCCAGCAGCTCATTGTTACCTGCAGCAGCAGAAGGAAACAACTGCAGTTCCTACTTGATGTGTTTTTGTGCCTCTTTGTTCCTTTCAATGAAAGCAAAGAAGGAAAAAACAGATATCAACTTGTAGGTACGTGTGTGTCTGCGTATGTGTGTGTGTGTGTGTGTGTGTGTGTGTGTTGTGGGGCTTTATGTGTCTGTTTATGTCAATTGAAACAATGTGTGGCAGTATGGGGCTTAGTGAGGGTGCATCCTTACCCATACCACACACAAACACACACACACACACACACACACACACAGTCAAACCTAAATTTACAGCTTTTAATTTTTGCTCTATACCTAGCAGTGCACCAACAATGGATCAAATGATTTAGTGTCCGTGAAAGGGGTCTCTTGTAGTGTTATAATCATCACCCGACTCTGCAGTTCTACGAAGCACATTAGGGTCTTATTTCATTCTTTTGGTTTTACTACCCACAACTTTAATGTTTTGGCTCACTCTCAAAGGTCAGGTCTAAAAACACACTATATACAAGTTGTCCAACACCAAACAGCAGACAGAAAAAGTTAGCAACTAGCTGGGTATGTTGGGGGTCGCGGGGGGGCTGGAGCCTATCCCAACTGACACTGGGCGAGAGGCAGGGTTCACCCTGGACAGGTCACCAGACTATCACAGGGCTGACACATAGAGACAGACAACCATTCACACTCACATTCACACCTACGGACAATTTAGAGTCACCAATTAACCTGCATGTCTTTGGACTGTGGGAGGAAGCTGGAGCACCTGGAGAAAACCCACGCTGACACGGGGAGAACATACAAACTCTGTACCACCGTGCCGCCACCCAGAAAAATAACACGTTAAAACAGTTAACGCTGATTAATTACATTCCATGGTGCCCTTTGACCCGGTGCATCACTGAAGGCCACAGTGGCTATGTCACATGATGGAGGCAGACGAGACAATGCTGCTTGGCTCTGTGAACGGAACATTTACATTAAAAAAAAAAAAAAAAAAACAGATGAAACTGTTGAGCATCGTTCTCTGCAATTTCTGCAGTAAGGAATTTTCGTACTATTTGAGTATTTCAAGTCTGAAATATCACAAATACAAAGAATTTAGCAGCAAACCCAGAGGTCTGAGCTAGCATAGCCCCTGATGCTAACGCTAGCAGCCAGGTGTTCATACATCAACTGAGTAAGTCTTGCAAAATGGACTGCAATGGACTGCAGACCAGTTGATTTAGATTAATTAATCACAGAGCATGTCATTAGTTAGATTAATTTTTTAAATCGCTTGACAGCCCTCGAATGAACGCTAAAGGCTATAGTAAGTACAGCTAAGGTAGTTGGCTGAATAGCAAAGATTCATTCATTACCTGTAACTGCTTATCCTCATGGGGATCGTGGGCAGTACATCTTGGACAGGTCGCCAGACTGACAAAGACAGACAACCATTCGCGCTCACATTCACACCTATAAACAATTTAAGGTCACCAACTTACCTAACCTGCATGTCTTTTCAACTGTGTGAGGAACCTGGAGAAACCCACACAGGGATAAATCTGCAAACTCGACACCAAACCCGCCAACCCCAAAATAGGTCAATCTCAGACTGCCTACTAATTTGCTGGATATATATTTATCATTTTATATTTCGATTTATAAAACCAACTTCAAGGGAACCTTAGACGGCATTACATGTGGATTTCAGGAGATCTGACACCCAACTCTGAAGCCTTTATAGCTGTATTTATATTCTGTTTCACCTCAGTTTGTGTTTTATTAGCACTTTATTTCCAGATTGAATGAGCCGACAGAAAGAAGCAAAGCATTAAAGCATTAAATGCATTCTGAATCTGTTAGTTCTGCTGCGGCGTACTTGTGAGGGCCTGTGTTTGTTTAGTGATTTGGGTTTGGAGACTTTGGGGGAAGCGAGCAGAGTCGAACGGGGTTGGGGAGGTTGTTGTCTCCCTCCGGGGCGCGAGGAGGTTTCTCAGAAAACACTGCCAGTCACGTCTGGCCCTTTGTGGACACTAAATCACGCTCTTCGCCGGAGTGCTTCCGCACAGCAGCCCTCAGCTCCCTCCTCAGCTGGAAATGCAATATGCCACGTACCCCAGGCGCTGAGACCACCCAGGAGGCATATGGGGTCACACACACAGAAAAACAAATGTGCATGTGCTCGTACGATCCCACACACCCCCACAATCAAGCACATTCAGATACACACATACTGTATATAAGCCAGTATGCATGTCCTCAGGATGTGAGGTGGATTGGTTTGTGGCATCGGGGGTGAGGGGGCAAAGGAATTTCACAACAAGTGGTGGTTTCAGTGGTTTCTCTCACTGGGATCTGAATACCACAGAAGCTCACAACTTCCTCTTTGGCAAATATCAAAGGATGGTTGACCCTCTGTGTTCAAAGAGGCTCCAGCAGTGTCAGACACTCCAAGAAAACATCTCAAAAATCTGTTAAAAACTAATTTAGGAAGGAATAAGTCACCAGGAGTTGTGGTTTTGGGCAAAGCAGAGGTGGAGTCAAATGTACCTAAAGCTCAATAACAAACTGTTGTTCGTATGCTATTTGTTCGTTGGTTGGGTGCCTGAGCCCACGAGGCAAACCAAACTGCTAAAAGATGGTGAGTATTTTTTGGCCAGCTGGCATGTGCGACTTTGTTTTGGTTTCCCAAATTATATTGGTTTCAGGAAGAGGAAATCAATGCAAGGAACAGCACAACTGCTTTGACAGTAAGTGTGGATGTTCTTGGTTTCAGTGGCAGTTTTATGATATGGATTTATAACGTTGTCACAATCTATAGCTGCATTTCTGGGAACAATATTTAGCTGCCTTCTGGGACATTTTGTACATCATGTGGTTCAGAGGAGAGGGAGGGAAAAAAACACTGCAGACCACATTCAGACTGTCAGGAGCACATGGCTGCCAAACCATTCTGGATGCCATCAGGTGGCTACGAGTAGGGAACATGTTTTGTTTTTTTTAAATTCCAAAGCATTTCGCTCTCTATGTGACTGTAGGACAGTATTCACTTGCCTGCTTCTTTGCAAACAGCTGCAAGGTCTGCTCCCACGTATCCATGAGCGGCGTCGGCCAGCTGCGTCACCTCCTCGGTGTTGGCGCTGCATGGTACGCAACTCAGCTGCTTCTGCAAAATATCTGCACGCTCTGCAGCACCAGGAACTCCCACCTGGCGTCATGAAATCAAAAAATAAAAAGTGCAGAACAGAAAGTTTCATTTACACTCAAAGTAATTGTGCTAGAGCCCTAGAAGGAACCTTGAGGAACCCTAACCCATAAATGGATGGAGTACTACAATGATTGATTGATTTTTAATGATCCTACACACAGCAATTATCCACATAGCACATAACTATTTAACAACCTGCTTCCACTACAGTGTGGCAGTACGCACCTCCAGCTCCTTGTCAAAGCGTCCTGGTCGACGCAGGGCGGGGTCGAGGGCATGGGGCCGGTTTGTGGCTCCCAGGACCAACAGCTGACCTGAGTGACCCTCCTGGAAGGGGCAGGAAAAACAGCAGAGATCAGTCTTGACCTAGTAATCATGGTTTAATGTCATGTCATGATATTTTCCTTGAACCAAAGTCAGTATTTAGTGGATTACCTTGTGAGGCATCAAAATGACTTTGAAAAGACATTTAGCCAAATAATGTTTTTATCCAAATATGGTTTTAAAAAAATCAAAACGTTGACGACTAAAATATGTCGCGTCACAGCAAAGGGGGTTATTGGTTCGAACCCGGGGTGAGGGAGCCCTCCTGTGTGGAGTTTGCATGTTCTCCCCGTGTCAGCGTGGGTTTCCTCCAGGTGCTTTAGCTTCCTCCCACAGTCCAAAGACATGCAGGTTAACTGGTGTCTCTAAATTGTCCGTAGGTGTGAATGTGAGTGTGAATGGTTGTCTGTCTCTATGTGTCAGCCCTGTGATAGTCTGGTGACCTGTCCAGGGTGAACCCTGCCTCTCACCCAATGTCAGCTGGGACTCCAGCCCCCGGTAACCCCTAACAGGATAAGCAGTTACGGAAAATGCATTAATTAATCAATGAATGAATGAATGCTACATTGTGAACGACAATTCTGTGTTGATATCTACAGGATGAGAGCCGGTTAATGTTAGCTGTTAGCAGCTAGTGACCGGAACTATCAGCTGACAGAGGTTGTACTGATTTACTGATTTTGAGGTTTTGACAGCAATATAAAACAGATATTAGAAAGGAAATATGATATATCATATATAGTAAAAAGACTTTTAAAGCACTTAAAAAAGATGTTTTTCATGTGAAGGACGGTTATATTCAAGGTCGTTTCATAAATGTGTATGATTTAATTTGCGCTCCCTCAAAGAATGACTTTAAAAAGGTTCATTTATTTTTTATAATAAAGATTTCTCTGTTTCCCTGGCACAAAAGGGGGAATAAATAACAACAAAAAACATCAGCGTCAGCCATCGGCCATATTGTAATTCTAAACATCCGTATCAGCCTAAAATTTCACAGTCAGTGCATCCCTAAAAATAACAGATGGAGGACAAGGAATGGTACATTTCAAAGTATCACTGCCAAATCTGTCATGTTGGTGAAGACATGCACCCAGAATTACATGCAAATTGTTGCTTTGAGTTATCAATATCAACTTTCTGGGAGCTAAGTAAAACAGCCCTGTGTTTGACTTCATGACCACGCATTTGTGACTCTTCTGTGGTTTTAATAAGCAAAACCTCAGAGAATATTTGACCCTGTCTGATGCAAAACTTGTGTTTCTCCTATCTTTCTCAGGGTGGTCTGCCTGCAAGATGAGAATACTTTTTTTCCCCCACCTTTCAATACCACCAGGATAATTGAAACACAAATAAATTACAGTGCAGGCAAGAATGCTGAGGAGCAGAACTGCTTTCTCCACATTCCACAAACCAATCAGCGCTGATGACCTCGGATCATCTGGACTGGAAAACAGGCAGGAGCAGGGAGCCGGCAGGGCGTAGGTGTATCTGTGTTGTATCACCGATCCAAATGAAGGCTCGTTTCTGCCTGGGCTCATGGAGATGTACTTTACTGATAAAGCTATGCCAAATTGGCAGGTCATGGCAACCTTAGGTGATTTGTTTCCCAGGCTCCCGTTGGGCGTGTGTGTGGGGGGGAAATCATCTTTTTTCTCATCAGGCACTCACAGAGTGCTCAGAGGACAAACAACGCCCCAGAGACACAACCCACAGTGTCTGAAGGGCGTCCAGCATGCAGAGATGGTTTCTGCATGACAATCTGCATTTGCAATGAGGACATTTCCTGACAGAGCCACGTTCTGCTGCAGAGAGCCATATTCTGAAGTCATGTGTGTGCTGAACACGCGCCGATCAATGTAAAGCAGGCCTTAGAGATACTGATGATTGATAGAATAAAGAGAAGACTGTCCATTTCATGCTGCAAGCTCTGGCCAAGCAATAAACATGACACACAGAGAGAAGCAGCTATCATCACCCGGTGTATAACTGACCGGAGCAGATACAATCATCTGAATAATCAACAGTGGTTTTCAAACTTTTCAGAACACCTCAGAAAAATTTGGCTCTCAAGTACCACCACTGTAGGAGGCCGAGCAAAGCACCCCAGACGTCCCTCTCCACAGCAACCCTTTCCAGCTCCTCCTGGGGGACCTCAAGGCGTTCCCAGGCCAGATGAGATATGTAATCCCTCCAGCGTGTTCTGGATCTGCCCCGGGGACTCCTACCAGTAGGACACCTCTAATGGGAGGCACCTCTAATGGTTGATCAGATGCTCAACCTCAACTGATCCCTTTCGACACAAAAGAGCAGCGGCTCTACTCCGAGCTCCCTCCAGATGTCCGAGCTCCTCGCCCTATCTCTAAGGCTGAGCCCAGACACCCTTCTCAGGAAACTCATTTCGGCCACTTCTATCCGCGACCTCATTCTTTTGGTCATTACTCGGAGCTCATGACCATAGATGACAGTTTCCAGTGTTTGTAAAACCATTAATTGGACCTCCATTCACTATCTTGCCATCACAGTTTAGCTCATCATAACTAAACATGGACATATGCGTACGCTACATTCATGTATGTGATAACATCAATATATTTGAACAGCAAAAATGGCAAAAACATTTTCAGCAGTTCTGGTGTTGATTCTGCACAGTGATATGATTGGCGGGTGTAGTTCAGTAAAAAGAGAATAGTTCCTACATGAAACTGCTCACAACAAGGTCTGTGGATTATCATGAGTTACAGGGTCATGATTTCTGGAAAGAGACATTGCTGTTGAGCACTTAGAGCCTCAAAAGAGTGCCATCTAATTCCATTATACTCAAGAGAAGGCACTTATTTCTGTGGCCGCTATCTTCAGCACTCTGCAACTCACACTAAAACAATCTTGTTTGATAAATAGCACTAACGGTAAGAGGAAAAATATGTATTTTTGATTTTGGGGTGAACTGTCCCTTTACCCTAAGACTCATCACCTGTTAGGACACATTATGGTTGAAGGATAAGGAGGATACTCACTGAACCAATTCCATCCATCAGAGTCAGGAGAGAAGCAACGACTCGTTTCTCCACCTCATTCTGCGCTCCCTCTCGCTTTGGACACAAAGCATCCAGCTCATCGATAAAGATTATCGCAGGTTGTCTGTAAATCAAGAGAAAATGTTACACACTAACACTAGACATGATGTTTACAAAATTTTAGATTTTAAGCAACGGAAAAAATGTAAGTAGTTCTGTTTTATTAAATGTTTTTGATGTTTGATTTTAGATGGTACGCACATTAATCTTTTTCTAATGATTGCTTTTATAAATTACATGTATTACAAATGACACAAAATACAAAATAAACACAAGACAGGGGCCAACAAAAAGAAAACACTTAGTGTTTTGCATATACAGAAAACACTAAGATAGTGGCGATGATGGTAATTTAAGGGCATGGTCAGCTACATTAACTACAGTTTACTGAAGTTTACCTCTGAGATGCTTCTGTAAATATCTGCCTCAGCCTCGCTTCTGTTTCACCATAGAATCTGCAGAGACACAAAACAGCATACATCATGAATGAAGAAGAAGATGAAACAGTATGAAAATAGCATTGTAACAGTATTGCTGAAATGTGCTGAAAAGGTACCGATGCACACATTGAAATAATTTCATTAAATTTTCAATTTCAGGTGTGCTAATGAAAACTACAAATAAGCACCACTATGCATTTTTGTTTGTATAAATATTAAAATAATGACATTGCCAATACCTTATGTAAGCATATGACACCATATGAAATGTGTGAAACCTGAGAAATCAGCTTGATTTCTTTTAGACACATGGAAAGGAGGCAGTGAGCAATGAAAGAAGAAATGACCAAAAAACTAGCAAGAAATTAGTAAAAAGACAAAAATAAAACAAAAAAATAATTTTAAAAAAGAAAGAAAAGTTAAAAACAAACTAACAAGGAAATGACCTGGAAAGAGTGCTTGAATATTATAATAATTCTATAACCTAATTATAAAATGTAAAAATATTACAAATACTAAAAAAATAGATTTAGAATATTAAAAAAAAATAATAATAAAAAAAAATGATAATAATAATAATAATAATAATAATTTTTCCCTTGCGTTTAAAAATATTTTTCGACATTCATTTTTTTCTATTTGCAATTTGTGGGACATTTTCTAACAAAGTTGCTCACTGCCTTTTTTCCCCATGTTTCTGAAAGCAATCGCACCCGTTTGCTCAAAGGTTCAAAGGTTTAAATACTTGTGAAGGTGTCAGAAAGCAGCACAAAAAAGTGTTGTCACTCTAAGTTTCAAAGGGTTAACATAAAGACAGCCTGTCTTTACAATGCTCGCTGCAGTGTGTGTGTGTCACTGTGGATGAGGACAAGGGACCAGTAGCATCACTGGGTTTGCCTGCTGCACGCCCACTCTGTAAACAAGGGAACAGCAAAACAAACCCACGCTGCATGCTGCACCTGCATCTGGGAGACTTCTGTTAACTCTAGCTGACACTGAACAGTATTTACTGTGAGCTTTTCAAAGCACGGTATCAAACACAGTCTTAACGATAATTCAAATTTGAAACAGCACTACTAACCGTCTGAAAATTCCCTGTGGTGTACCATAAAACCAATAAGCATTTTATCCCTTCTCATTAAGTAAATTAAACTGCTACGATTTAATTATGACTTCAGATCACGTGCAGAGTTATAATTCTGTTGTCCACACATAATAAAATCCTCCTTATATATTACACTGGGACAGGAGAGTAATGTTTGTGAGCAATATGACCGTACTTGCTCATGATCTCTGGGCCGTTGATCACCGTCATGTGAGCTCCAACCTCATTGGCTATAGCTCGTCCAATCATAGTTTTTCCTGTGCCGGGGGGACCGTACAGTAGCACTCCTCGGGGAGGTGGAATACCTGCACAGAAAACAGCTTGCAGTTAGAGTTAGTTTTAGAGTCTAATGTATGCACATGGAACGACACTGTGCTGTCTGACGCACCATAGATGGAGAATAAAGCGGGGTGTTTCAGAGGAAGCTCAATGGTTTCTCTGATGACGTCCAACTGGCTGTTGAGCCCGCCAATCATGCTGTATGTGACCTTTGACCTTGCAGCTTCTGCATCTGGATCCTGCTGCCCTGTTCTGCCTCTGAAACTGACTTTAGTGGAGCAGGAGAGGCAGTAGAAGGTGTCAGTACTAAGAGCACCACCAGGGGGAGCTGTGGGGATTTTCTCTGCCTGCTCTGAGCTCAGTGAGCCCTCCATACTGACGGCATCCTCCGCTGACCCTGCAGGAGGATTCTGGGAGCTGCAGGATGGGGTGCAAGGAGCAGAGGGTGAGGAGAGAGAAGGGAGGACGGTTGGTCGGCGTGGGGTGCTGGCTGCAGGCCCCAGCATGTCTCCAGGCGTGCTTGGTGCCCCGTCAGCGCTGTTGTCATCCACAGTGAGCAAACTGAGCTGCAGGGACAGGTCGGCTGACGTGGAGTCCAGCACGGAGTTCATCACGGAGGACTCCTCCGGGTCAGGGCCAAGTCCTGAGGGAGGTGCCGGTCTGTGGAGGGTGACGCCATCCTCCCCTCTTATGGTCTCGACCCGGAGACTGCACGAGCGGCCAAAGTAGGTCAGGGAGATGGTATTTCCTGGCAAAATGATGTTCTCAACTGGCACAAGACAGACAAACCAGAAGAGTTATTCCAGTCTGGACTCAAACTGAACAAGAACAGCAATTTAAAACCAGGACACAGTTTTCTGCTTTTCCCATATGGGGTAAATGTGTATGGATGATGAAAACTGACTTACCCAGAGACCTCAGGAAGAAGTTCTTGAACTCATCCGTCTCCAGTGTGTCATCTTTTGACCTGAATGAAAGTTAAATGGGTGTGACAATTAACCAGAATGAAACATCTTTTTACAACAAATCTTTTTACAAGAGCAGCTTCACAGAAGTTACAAAACATTAAAATAGGAAGAAGATAATCAAAGTTCGCCGAACATATCACATTATAATATGTCATAACGTAATATAAAAACAGATTTGTGTAGAAATGATAATTACAAATAGATGCATTCAGGCGAGCTGAATCAGTGACATCTTTTAAATCACTTCTTAAATCTTATCTGTTCAAATAAGCCTTTTATTAACTTATTTATTTTGTTTATTTAATATATGTCTTATTTTGTGTTGTCACTGGTTATTGTATTCTTTTATTCTTGTATTATTTTAATTGTTTGAGTTTATATATCTAAGTGCAATCTACAGCTGCTTCAGTTTTGATATTCTATCTTTTTTTTTTATTGTTCTTTGTATTTCTTGAAGTTGCCTCATTTTATTCGATTGAATTCCACATTGTCTTTGTAACTTTGTTTTGAAAAACGCCCTATAAATAAAGTTTATCTATTTATTCATAATTTATAATGTGGATTAATAAAATCTACACAATTGATAGTTTGGCATTTGAACTGCAGTTGCAAACAGACACCAGCAGATGGCAGTCCTTACCTGAGAAATAACATGAAGGTGTGATACACTCTGAAGGCTTTGTCAGAGGTATAACATTAGTGCTCATACTCCTGTACATTATTACAATGACTTTATCACATATGATTCAATCAGCTATTTGTATATGTATTTTAAAATATCAGCTGCAGATGTTTATGACCAACATTTAAACAGAAAAGTTGTTTTTCATTTTGCTAATAGTGCAGTTTTATGACACACATGTCACAGTGAAATATGTGACATAAGCATATTTAATGAGAGCCAGATGTACTTCACCTGTTGGAGAGAACCACCTCCTCAGCCTGAAGCACAGGACCTGTCAGCGGGTGCAGCGTCACCTCGTCCCCTGACTTCACTCTGAGGTTGTTCTGAGCACATTTCTGAAGACCGACTTTTCCACCTGGAAAGGAGGCAACAGGCCAACCTAAACACACCTGGAAGACAGAGGACATAAATAGACGAATGATTATTAAAAAAGTGTCAGAGCTGAAAAATTATCAGAGGAAGGAAGGCGGAATGCTGAAAACACAAACCATCCATCAACTAAAGGTTTAAGGACTGGAACAAAGCGCAACATTACGTATTCAACATGTCAGTGGAGTTTTACAATACAACTGTTTGAAATTATCTGGCATAGAAACTGATGAAGAGACAAGACAGCACCTCTTGTTGTCCTGAGGGACTCGTCAGTAGGACTGGTCTCCCGATGCAAACACTGGCTGACTTCATTGAATTGAGGCTCAGTTGGACTAAAGTCGATCGGCAGCTTTTGGGTGTTTTGTCGTCAGCTGGGAGGAAAATTAGGAAAAATATCACGTGAAATAAAAGTAAAGAAGCATTTGCTGTAACTGTTCTCAGGTATCAAAAAGTTGTAAGTATTTATTCTGAAGAACGCTACTGTTAATTTATCACTTTGTGAACATGTTAAAATGATTTTAACGTAGCTCGTCCAGATCGTACTTAGTCTAACTACTTCATACACTCCTGTGTAGGTGATACTATAGCAGTGTACGTTTTTTTTTTTTTTTCTTTTCAAAAATTAAAATGTCTGAAAACACACTTCAAAATAAATTGCAAGAACTTATCCTTGTGAAAATGGAGTTTCCTTCCTCATTAACATGTAAAGCAAATACAGGGGAAGACTGCAGTGTTAGGCTAAAACAGTCCTCTGTAGTAGGGGCCCCTGCTCCATCTCTCTTTCAGCTAAGGGGCCGGAAAAGGACTGAAAACTGTTGGAGTATGGTTTTGCATGCTGTGATCATTCCTCCTGACAATACTGGCCATGAAGAGATCCCTTCCTAATGTGCTTCAGCTTAAGTGATGAGGGACAAAATCCACACAGTCCTCTTTCAGTGCAGCTAAATTTTATTTGAGGCTTCAGCCGTCTGAATTAGACAAATCAAGCAGATATCTTCCAAAGTTAATCCTCTTGGTATAAAATGTCCTCTGTGCGTTTGCCCCGACAGTCTCCTGGCTGATATAAATTAACAAAGAGGGAATTTCATCTTAAAAACACTGTAACTTTGAGAGATGTCCACATGATTCGTCGCTCACTAAATATACACTGCTCAAAAAATTAAGGGGAACACCTAAATCACACATCAGATCATGATGAACGAACTATTCAAGTTGACAATCTTAACTGATGTACAATGTATAATTTGTTGAGAACAAAATGACGTAACAACAGTCAGTGGAAACCAAAATCATCAACCCACTGAGGGCTGGATTCAAAATCACACTGAAAATCAAGGTAAAAAACATAAAGACTCTTTCATGCCTGTGCTCAGTGTGAACCTGCTCTCATATGTGAAGAGAATGGGACGCCAAAGGTGGAACTGCCAATGCTGGTGTCCTCTGGCAAATGCCAATTGAGCTGCACGGTGCTGGGCTGTGAGCACAGGTCCCACTAGAGGACGTGGGGCCCTCATGCCACCCTCATGGAGTCTGTTTCTGACAATGTGGTCAGAGACATGCACACCAGTATCCTGCTGGAGGTCATTTTGTAGGGCTCTGGCAGTGCTCCTCCTGTTCCTCCTCACACAAGGAGCAGATACCGGTCCTGCTGCTGGGTTGATGCCCTTCTACGGCCCTGTCCAGCCCTCCTCGTGTAACAGCCGGTTTCCTGGTATCTCCTCCATGCCCTTGAGACACAGCAAACCTTCTTTTGATGTGCCATCCTGGAGGAGCTGGACGACCTGTTCAACCTGATTGGACTGCAGGTATGGCCTCATGCTACCAGTAGTGATAAGAACACTAGCAGAGGACCAAACTAGAGAAGAATCAGTCAGGAAGGAGAAGGAGAGAGAAAATGTTGTCTTGCTTTTGCCTCTCCATTGCACCTCTTGTCACTTTCATTTGCACCAAAGCAGCTTGTGCTTCCTAAATGGACAGATTGATATCCCTGAAGTTTACCTGACATGGTGTTAGACTGTGATGATTAAGTGTCCCCATAATCTTTTTGAGCAGTGTAGATGAATACCCTCAAATATTCTCAAAGCTGAAAGTCACTTCCACCTCAGTCCGTTTCTCAATCCAATGCGAGTGCAGAGATAAAACTGTAAATCATGAGCCTCTTCAGTTGCCCACAGACGGCATGAGTTGTACAGTTAGAGGAGCATCTCAGCGTCCAGCAGCATCACTGAGTTCAACAGGGACCAAAGCGGATCCTCCATCTTCAAACTGCAGACTGCTTCATTTGCTGAACGTATTCACACACTAACACTATCAAAGCATGTTAAACGTTTAGGTTCATGCAGATAAGTCTCACCTTTCTCAATGAAATCGATGACAGTGAATGAGTTGCTGTTCAGACTACTGCAGCTTCCTCCTTCGTGGCCAGATGTTTGCAGGTTGGAGTCACTGGAGCTCTCTTTTAATAAAACTGAACTATCCCCTTCACTCCCCTTTTTGGATTTGCTTTTATTTTTCTTTGAAGACATTTTAATAGCGAAAATCTCCCCCACGTGAACGTGCAAACATGTGTAAACACGGAGCGGTGTTGTAAACTTCCTGGTTTAACTTTAGCCCCGCCTCATTTTACCGTAAAGCCTCGAAAAGCTCTGAATTAAATTTTACAGCAGGTGATATTCTTTTTGTATTGTTTGCATTGTAAACATTTGATGACAAAAATATGACTAACAATTGAAAAAACTTTGGTTTTAACTGAGAAAATTTACTATGAGAGCCTGGAACTAATTTGGCCTCGAAAATAAGTTGTGCAAAATTCCATAGAAAAATCTGATAATTTAGGGTTTCTTTGTTACCAGCAAGTAAAAACACACATCTTAAAATATTTAAAGGAATATAAAACATTACTCGGGTGTAGTCCAAAATTCGGCATACATATTATACGCCAAGGGGTGTTTTTAACAGTGTTAAACGCTTATTTTTGATTTATTGTTAGCTTCTTTACAACAGATGCCACCTTGAAGACAGCGCGTTAACAAGCTACAGCAACGTCATAAATTCATTGTCAAAATTGATATTTAGCCGGTTTAAACGGTTTTATGTCAGCCGAATTTAACAACATACCATAAGGGTTGTTTTAGCTAAAGATAATGCTGGTAACTTATCTTTAAAGTATTTAGTGGCTAAAATGTCAGTTAGGAGAATGGAGTTCGTTTTAGCACCGCAGGAGCCACGGTGTTCTGTTGCTAGCTAGTCCTCGAGCTATTTTCCCGGAGCATTACGGTATTTATGCAACTTCCAGGGCGGACGTTTACGTAACCGTACTGTACGGAAAGCACATGCCGGTTGAAGATTGAACAAACCTTTGATCGGTTGTTTATATCAGCGTAGTAACATGGCAGCCTGTGCCGTTGCTTCCAGGCTCTTGCCGTTAGTGAGAGGAACGATCTGCTGCAGAGCGTCTCGCCCCGCGCGCCCAGCTGTCCGTGCGGTCTCGTGCACAGCAGCTCGGTCTCAGCTCCACAGAGTGGACGGGTCCAGTGGTGGTCTACCGGGTAAAGTGGACCGATTCGGTGGAGTGACAGTGAACCTGGCTGAGGTCGGTTTACCGGTGGACATCAGTGAGAGCTCCTTCAGCAGGTTACTGCAGGGTAAGCTGACTGTTAGTGTGGTGTGAGACTGAGAGGAGAAACAATGCACACATCATGTCTTCCTATTAACTCACAGATCATTAACCTGCCTCAAACACTGACCACAGACTACAGTGGGCTGTGAAGAGTTTGAATGAGGGACTTGCTGTGTAAAATCAATAATAAAGAAGGTGAAAGTCAGTTGTTACATATACATAGATGCAGGTGCTTGAAGGTGCTCTTTCCCTTAGAGTCCCCTTTTCTATCATTCAGCAAACTAACAAACCCATAGTGACATATTTAATGCCCCGAAACTGTACACTAAGCATAGTGAGGGGGGCCAAGGACTGGTGAGCGTCAGAGCCACTGTCCAGAACGCAACAACCAAGATCCAGGAATACACCAGGAAGATGGCCCCCAAAGATAAACTGCTAAGTGAATACCTCAGGCAGCAGAAACCTGAGAACACAGAAGAGAAGGACGAGCCAGTATGAAAGGACAAGGCCTGGCCAACTTCAAGAAACCCTACCAGTGGCTGGAAGAGGCTGGACTGGAGGACAGCATAGAAGCACTAATCATAGCAGCACAGGAACAGGCACTTAGTGTAACATCAATAGAAGCAGGAGTCTACTACAGCAGACAGGACCCCAGGTGCAGGCTGTGCAAAGATGCTCCTGAGGCAGTTCAGCACATAACAGCAGGGTTTGAGATGCAGGCAGGAAGAGCATGCGTGGAAAGCCATAACCAAGCGGCTGGCATAGTGTACAGGAACATCTGCACTGAGTATGGGCTGAAGTCCCAAGGTCACCATGGAAGACACCTCCGAAGGTGGTTGAGAAAGACCGAGCTAAGATACTGTGGGACTTCCAGATCCAGACTGACAAACTGGTGATGGCTAAACCAACCGGACATTGTGTTGATGGACAAACAACAAAAAGCTGGAGCAATCCCGAATGACAGCAGCATCAGGAAGAAGGAACATGAGCAGCTCAGAAAATACCAAGGGCTGAAAGAGGAGCTAGAAAAGAGGTGGGGAGTAAAGACAAAAGTGGTGCAAGTAGTAATGGGAGCACTGGGGGTGTGACTCCCAAACTGGGAGAGTGGCTCCAGCAAATTCCAGGTACAACATCTGAGGTCTATGTCCAGAAGAGTGCAGTCCTAGGAACAGTAAATATAAACCCTCAAACTCCCAGCTAACTTTTGACTCACTGTTTATGCTCCACAGATTCTTTGGCCCAGTGGAAAGCAGAGGGCAAAGCTGCAGTGTGGCTTCGGGTGCCCATCTCACTGAGTCGATGTGCCGCCGCCGCCTCCGCTCACGGCTTCACCTTCCATCATGCCAAACATGACCACGCTGTGTTGGCCCTCTGGTTGGGAGAAGGGGAAAGCAGGCTGCCTGGGTTTGCAACTCACCAAATTGGAGTGGCAGGTAGAGACTTTTAGACTGAAAGCTCATTTTTGACTTCTGGAAATAGCAGTTTGGCGCAAAATAATATAACTTACAATAATAAGTTTGCTCAGGTGTCATGGATCTGATGGCGGCTGTAAGACGCAGATGAAAACTCAAACATTCGAGGTTGCTTATATTTAGTACTAGCCAAAATTTCATGTATACTACTTAGCTACTATCTTGTTATGGCTATGTCATCACTCATTTTATGAATACATATTATCACAATTAATTAAAGGGATAGTTCAGATTTTTTTAAGTGGGTTTGTAAGTGGTACTTAAAATGTATTTTAGCTACCTAAAAAGTCCCACCTAAAGAAAATCAGTGTCAGTTTAAGTGTACTCTGTGTTTAGAGTATTGTCACTGCTTTACCTTAAAGTCAAGCAGTGGTTTCCAATGGGAAAGTGAAGCCATTATATTGTTCTCTTCAAAGCCAGACTCCATTGAGAAAAACAGTGATTTAACATAGTGAACACAGGAGCAGCTGGTCAGTTTGTGTCATTGTTTGACTTTCACATATAAAAAGGTTAGTTTGGAGTCATTAAAGTCCCACTCCCGTTATCAGTGAGCTAAAATTGCTGTTTTTGTCAATGGAGTCTGGTGGCTTTAAGGAGAGCTGTCTGACAGCAAGGTAAAGCGGTAAAAAAAAACTGTCAATATAGCGTACACTTCACCTGACAGATTCTTTTAGGTGGGACTTTTTTTAGATGGCTAAAAAACATTTTGCTGCTGCCCCTGTCCATAGTAGTGCATTGCTTAGCTTCCATGACAGACTCCAGCCTGCTTCTCCAAACTGGAGTTGTGCTGACTGACATCTACTGTACGTAATGCACCGACTATGGAAAAGTACCCCATCAGTGTTCATTTTGACAGCTATTTTAGATTTTGGGCCTGTCCCAATACCCACACTTCCCCTAGAAATACCCACTTGCACTTGGTTGTGCGCGTTCACGTTTAGGCTAGTGGTGTCCCAAAACAGAACTGAGGTAGTGGAAGTGGTTTCCAACACTTAAAACCCGCCCTAGATTCCAAGGGAGCCCCGACCCACACTTTCAACATAGTGGAAGATGAAATTTCCCAGAACACCTTGTGAAGTCAGCAACTTCGCCAAGTTTTGGAAAACAGTTTGTTACTGTACGATCATAATGTAGGCTATACAAACAACAGATGGTTGGACTAGCCAGCAACTTGGTTGAACACAGCATCAAAATATTTAAACAAATCGACTAGAGACGACGATCAAAATGGATCAGAACTAGAAGGCGTCGTAAGCGCCTCCTGTTTTCAGCATTTCTTCTCCGTTGATTCATCAGACGGAGAAGAATAAACATAGCACACGCCACAACACAAGCGCTGGAGCCGGCATTTTCAAACCTGAATGACTGCCGCTATCTTGCGTCGCTACTATGCCTGACGTATGCCTGCACGTCAACCATGCTGATTTGCATGAGTTAGTGTCTCATTTCTTAGGGAAAGATCACTACCCTAATATTTTTCACTTCCCTCATCAAGGGTTATCTCGCAAACGAGGGCACTCACCAAGTGGAAGATTTAAGAGGTAGAAATGGGATTGGGCCATAGTCTTGAGACGGAAATGCTTATTAGTTTTAGTCACATTTTAGTCATTTTCATCCTTCATAGTTTTAGTTTAGTTTTAGTCGAACTCAAAACGTTTTAGTTGACGAAAATTCATGACATTTTAGTCAATACTTTTAGTCAGGGTTTTTCCACGTTTTTTTATCTGTATTTTTAATTCATGTATCAGAACTCTAAATCAGGGGGCGTCGGTAGAACAGTGGATAGTGCCGGTGCCCCATGTACAAAGGCAATGCCTCGCCCGTCGGTCGCAGGTTTGAATCCAGCTTGCAACCATTTGCTGCATGTCACCCCCCACTCTTTCTCTCTCCCCCATTTCACTCTATCCTGTACATTAAAGGCAAAAAGCCCCAAAAAAATAATCTTTAAAAAAAAAAGAAGAAGAAAGAAATCAAAATCAAGGTGACAGGTTATATAAAAATTTCACATGGCCAATTTTTTTCTACAACTCCAAATAATTTCTGCACACTTACAAACTTGAATTTCTCCAGCAGTTTTTGACAGTTTCAAGGGGTGGTTTATGAGCACGCACTTCCTGATCTTTTTCGTCACAAACGTCTCGTCACATGTTGTCTCATCGATGAAAATTACGTATGCATTTTGTGTTAGTTTTAATTACCAAGGTCTATTTTTAGCTCATCATCGTCTCGTTTTCATCACGGAATAAAGGTAGTTGGCAAAACATTTTCGTCATAGTTTTTGCCAATGAAATAAACACTGTACCCCATATGACTCCACTTCAAGAAGTCTGAACTAACACAATAAAATTACATCAAAACCAAACATATGATATACAGATGGTGGAACAAAGCAGTCGCTGAATTTGTCTATAATGTATTTAAGTTTTAATTAATAATATAATTCCTTTAACTTAAAGAAATTCAAGTTTACAGCATATACTAGTTTTTCATTTTGAGTATTTAGTTTTATAAACTTATGTAATCAAATCAAATCAAGTTTATTTATATAGTATTTAAAAACAACTGCAGTTGACCAAAGTGCTGTACAAATTAAACAAATGACGCACAAATATATAACAATATAACATGCACACAAATATAAAACAGAATAACTCTGGTAAGAACAATTACATACGTAAAAAGAATATAAAATACTAGAACATTAAAGCTATGAGCAACCAAAGGCCATTGAAAACATGCACAATCTAATGTTTACGCACACTACAGACATTTATCAAATTTTCACTCAACAGTGAAGATCCGAAGCTGTGATTGGCAGAGCTTCATCTTGTGTAACGTTACATCTGACCGACAGAGCTGAACACGAGCTCCCGAGACTCACAAGCCCAAATCATTACTGATCTGGTGGTAAAGTTTCCCCATTAGAGATGAGAAATGGACAGAGACTGCACTTATTTCTTTATATAAATCAGTGCCTCAGGTTTTGGAAAGGGTTAAACACACTACAGATGACATGTGCTTCAGTAGAGTTTTAGAAGATATAGAGGTGTGTGTTTTGTGTTCAGGGATAAACCCTCTTTTTTTGCTCTAGAATCAAAATCAAGTAGCAGTAATAAAATAATAAAGCTGGGGTAAACTCTGACTTACATATAACAACTTCTTATTTTTCCTTTCTAAAGTATGAGAGGTTGTTTGTTGGGCTGTTATGTATTTTCAACTTTGGCCCATTTCACTTGCGTAAATGGAAATTCACTCCTCAGGACTGTGAATGTGGGGAGAAGAGCAACAAAGGGAGGAGTTGCAGACCTGAACTGTGCTAAGTTACCGGTCGTCCAGCAGAGGGCAGACTGTGGTTTATACCTTTCAAGAGTGGATGCACTTGAAGCATGTCAGAACATGTCCAGAGCATCCTTCAGTGTGGAACAGGGTCCAAAATTTCCCCTTTTTTGTTGCCAGAATATCCAGGAGCAAACAGTGATGAAACTAATGTTAGGAATTTGAAATACGTAGCTGTTTACATGATCTGATACTCGTTTGCTCGGGTGCTTGCAAATTGTTACTTTGAATGCAAACACAAAAAGGCACACATAAAGTAAAAGACTGTGATGGTAAAGACTAAAATTATAGCAGCACTCAATAAAAAGAAATAAATAAAAAACAGGAACTGAAAAAATGATATCTTGAGTGGGGAAACACCAGAAGAAGGGGTTAAAAACTCAAATAGATAAATACACAATAACAATAAATACAAAATAAAAAAAAGGTATAACATTCAATTAAAAGCCAGGCTAAAGAAGTAGGTCTTGAGTTTGCTTTTAAAGACATCAACACTCTGCAGCCCTCAGGTCTTCAGGCAGGCTGTTCCACAGACGTGTACCATAGTTATGAAATGATGCCTTACCGTGGGTTTTTGTCCTGAACTTAGGGATGATTAAAATGCCACGACCAGAAGACCTGAGAGTTCTAGAGGGCTCATATGATGAATAGGTAGGACTAAGACAATTAACAGCTTTATAAACCAATAAAAGGGTCTTAAAATTAATTCTGAAGCACACAGGAAGCCAGTGCAGAGACTTAAATATTGCTGTAATGTGTGCTCTCTTTCAGGTCCTTGCCAGTGTACGTGCAGCTGAGTTTTGTAATAACTGTATCTGAGCAATGTTTTTCTTAGGAAGACCAGAGAGTAGAGCATTACAGTATTCAATTCTGCAGTTAACAAAAGCAGGCATCAGTGTCTCTGTGTTGGCTTGGGAGAGAAACGGTCGCACTCTGGCAATATTCTGACGATGATAAAATCCAGTTTTGGTTATACTTCTAATATGTGGTTAAAAACTAAGATTCGAATCAAAGATAACTCTGAGGTTATTCACTTGTTGACAGGGTTTTAGAGCCAGTTCTTCCTCTCTCCGAAGCTTCAGGACCAATAACTAAGACCTTGGTTTTGCCCTGGCTGAGTTGAAGAAAGTTTTCTGCAATCCAGGACTTGATATCTAAAATACAATTAAAAAGGGCCCTGATTCATCACGGGACATGGCGATGTACAGCTGTGTGTCATCAGCATAACTATGGAAACTGATGCTGTGCCTCCCTATGACGTTTCCAAGTGGCAGCATGTAAAGATTAAAAAGTGTTGGACCTAAGTTTTAACCTGCACTACAACATAGTTCAGTTTAATCACTAATTTAACAACATTTATGGGTGTTTCACAATTTGTTGTAGTTGTGGCCAGTACACCTATAACTGAACCTAACATGGTACCACATTTTAGAGGCACTGGACAGCAGTGCTCTGCTAGAAACACATTTACAAAGGAGATATGAGCCCAACTGTTCAATCTAAATACCCAAAAGTGGAACATTGGTATTTCAAGGTGAAAGTGACCTCTGCTGACTGGTATACACTGTGAATTAAAACTTACCAACTGTAACACTGCAGAACTGACTCCAGATTCAATCTGCAGG